CATGCCAGCTTCTCCGCGACCATCATGATCCAGATCCGCAACCGGGTGTTCATGTTGAGGGCTTCGGTGGTTCAGGGCGAAGTTCCACTCCTCATGAGTCGGAGTGCTCTGAGTAAGCTGGGCATGGTGTACGATCTCGAGGACCACTCAGCCCAGTTCAAGCACCTCGGAATCAACAAGTTCTCTCTGATGACAACAGACAGTGGCCACCCAGCCATCCCAGTGACGCCGAAACGTGTGCCGGGCATGAAGTGGCCATCGCCCCAACAGTGGGCGAATTCGGAGGTGATCATTGTTCCCATGGCTGAGTCGCAATACACAGCATACATGACCAGTGCTCGTGGCACTAGTGAGGGTGAAGTCAGTGCTGCTCTAGAACCACCCCCTCCTATGCCCTCTCGTGATGAACCCAAAGCTCCAGGACACAATCTCTTCTACCCCAAGAAGATCAACGCGTGTGTTCGGAACATCCTGTGCGCCGAGCCCTTGAACGACCGCCTCTTCGCCACCTGGTGGGGTGGCACACCGATTTCAAAGGATTTCTGGATCGAGTGTGAAGACTCACTTGTGCGGGTTCATGTCGTTCCCAGGAAAGGCCTGTTTGATCCCTCCAGATGGGAAACACCCCAATTTGAGGTCAAGGACAAGCTGCTTGGGATGATTGGGATGGTTCGGTGCACTGCTGCAGTCTCATGTTCGACTCTTTCAAGTTTGAGCGTTGTTCGTGATCTGTGGCATGAACAAAGCAATGCATCCCTACCAGTGCTATGGGTTGGCCGCACAGTCTTTTCTCGAGTTGCAGCTAGACCGCCTCTCTACGGTATCCCGCCTCGAGTAGGACCTCCAAGACCTCCTGATGGCAACTCCCCAGCCGGTGAACATCTGGAAAATGAACAAGACGCAGCTGCTGTCAGAGGCGATGAGGATGAACCTAACGATCCACTCCTCCTGGTCAGTCGGGGAACTCCGCCAGGTCATCAGCGATCATCGGAAAGTTTCCGAGGAGACCTCCAGTGTCCCCAAGGGTCTAGCATCAATGACTCTGGAACAGCTGAAGGCTCAGGCGACTCAACTTCAGATCCCTATCCCTGCTCGGGTGACAAAAGGGCAGCTGCAGATGATGATCAGGGATGCCGCGACGCGCAACAAGGCGGATGCGGTGGTGACCTTCGGGAGGCACCGCAACAAGCTCTACCGAGAGGTTCCGGATCAGTACCTGGAATGGGCCATGCTGGAGGTGCAGGCACGCGGGGCGGAGAGTTCGGGACCAGATCTGGTGAGCCTGGCGAACTACGCGAAGGCGAAGCTCGCACCGAACGAGGAATCGGTTCACCAGGGATACAACCCCGAGATCAATTCCAAGGTGCCGCTGCCGAGCGAGGATGGCGGGGACTCAGCTTGGGAGTCTCACTGGTCGGAACTGACCGAGACGGCGATCCAGATGAACACCCGGGCGGCGGCGAAGGCAGCATCGGTATCGGCCATGCGGGCAGCAGCTCTCAAGAAACGAAGTTCCGGGTCAGGTTCTCAGACGGAGAACCCAGCGGTCATGAACCAGGAGATCCCGAAGGAAGTCAGCGAGGAGATCGAGGCCCTGATGACACGCTTGGCGACCCTCAAGGACAAGCACGGGCTATGAGTGCCATGTCAGACTCTGAGTCTGAAGATGATGTCCCTCAGATGCCCGGGGAGAGCTTCATCGGCACGCAATCCTCTCAGGGTGACCGTGTGGAGGCCGGGAAACCTGAAGTCTTCTATGAATGTCGAGGGCAACCCGAGGCTGAGGGGCTCGGTATGTCCATTGAGCACTTTGCCAAGGGACGACTTGTGCAGAAGGATTTCAAATTCGACACCTGCGAAAAAATTGTCCGCTACGTGTGTGAGCATGCAAAGACCCTCCGGAAGCGCACATTTCACGAAGGGACTGAAAGCCTTGCTCTAGGAGCATATTCGCACGGGAGCTATTATGGTGTGATCAAAAAGACCTACGGCCTCCACCAGACAGCGAAGTACATCAATGCATTTATGAAGTTCCACGGCGCAAGGGGTCAATGGTCCAGTTTTCAATTATGCCACAACTGTCATGTCGGGGCTCACAGGGATGCGCACAACCTCGCCGGGACGAGTTGTTGGACAGTTTCATTCGGGAGCTTTCAAGGGGGTCGTCTCTGGCTCGAGCAGAAACCCGGCGCTCAGGCTGATGATCAGGACGCCGCCGATGACGTGAAGCTCTCCGACGGGACCAAGGCCACTGGCAGGATTGTTTGCACTCGCGAAAACATGACTCAGTTCTGTCCTAAGACACGACATGCGGTTGAAGAATGGGAAGGTGATCGCTTTTCCATCACAGTCTACACCACCCGTGGAATACAGGAGTTGTCTAGGACTGAACGAGATGTACTTCGTACTTTCGGTTTTCCCCTGGGCAAACACGAAGGTTCGGGTCCTGAAGATCGTGAACAACAGCTACGACCGAAGAAGAGCATCCGAAAGGCTATCTGGAAAGGGGCACAACGAGCTAGCGCCTTTCTCACACTTGGCCTTGCAGCAGCGTCTTCCTTCCTCAGTGAGTTCATGCCCTCCGGAAAACTCCCAGGTCAAGCTTGCGTCTTCGAGATTGGTGGCACAGAGGTCACCTACCAGATGATCGAGGCTGGGGCACACGTCATCGAGCCGATTTCATGGGATGAGTTCTTTGGCAACGATATCCAGCTTGATGCCCAGAGTACGATTAAGAACCTGAAGCCCAGTGTCGTATGGTTCCAAGGTGATGCACAATCGGTTTATGATGGAGGTCTAATGCAACGTGCTATCGAATGCCAACTTGGATGCGGAGGTTCAGTTGTAGTACAGGCACGACTCGGTGATCCTCTTTGGTCTGTGCTTCCACTTAGCGATCTTGTAGGACTCCATCCCCACTCCTGTAAGGATCACGGAGATCTCCGTACTCTACGACTCGGCCATCTTCCTCAGGACGATGCCCATCGGGAAGATTGCAAGGACCCGGGATCACATGCACACCAGGGTCTCGTGACTTCAATCGACGAGCGTAAGCCTATTGATCACGAAGGTGCGTCAGCAATTCGCTTTGATGGAAATGTTCCCATGCATGTCCAAGCTGCCCTGAAGCGGCTCCATCAAAATCTCGGCCACCCTCGCATTGTTGACATGCTCAGGCATCTTCGCTATGCTGGTGCAGATCCTGGAGTACTCAAGGCATGTAAATCGATGCGTTGTGAAGTTTGTGACAGAAATCAGAGCACTCACGTCGCTCGTCCGGCCAGTCTACCTTCTCTTCTTGATATGAATCAGCTGGTCAGTGTGGACGTCTTTCACGCATTTGATGTTGATCGTGTACGGCATGAATTTCTGTCTGTGATAGATCATGCAACAACTTTCCATCTCGTGTGCGAGCTTGAAGGACATTCTTCTGAAGCTTTCTGTCGTGGCTTTACGCAGCTTTGGGGAAACGTCTTCGGAGCCCCAGGTACCATCTCAGCCGATCTAGAGACTGGCCTTCAAGGTGGTGTGACTAAGTACGCCGAGTTCCATGGATGCAAGCTTAGGACTTCTGCAGGACAAGCACACTGGCAACAAGGTGTTGTTGAGCGTCATGGTCTTTGGTATCAAGAAATACTGCAGCGCGTCGTTGATGAGAAGTCGATCACGAGTGAAGATATGTATCTCGCTGTGCAAGCCGTCAATACTGCTAAAAACGAGCTTAGGCGTCGTCATGGTTATTCACCTACACAAGCTGTTTTCGGTAAAGACCCTCGTTCTCCTGAAGAGCTATGTGCAAGCAATGATGAGGAACGCTATCTCGAGGTGATGTCCTCCGATAGAAAACGCCAGAAGGAAGTGAGTATTAGGACTGCTGCTAAGATGGCTTTCTTTCGCACTCAGCTTGATACCAAGTTCCGAAAAGCTCTCATCCAGAGGAGTCGCGTCAAGAGAGGCGGCTATGCGGTTGGTGAATTGGTGAGTTTCTATCGCATCGAGAAGGTCGCAACAAAGAGAGGCTCGTGGAGAGGCCCCGCAACTATCATCGGCACTGAAGGAGGGAACTGGTGGGTTTCTTTCGGGGGTCGTTGTCATCTTGTTGCTGAAGAACATTTGCGTCCTTCATCACCGGAGGAAGTGGGGGACATCCTATCCTCAAAGATTGCACG